TTAAAATTTACCAAGAGAAAAAATGTCAGAACACTCGGAAGATGTCAAGCGACAAAAAATATTATGGCGGAAAATATGATCTCCTGGAAATATCCGGTATATCAAAGGTTATTTTAAAACAAAAGTCCCTGGATGATGATATTATTTATGTTACGCTAGTTGAAGAGTTTTTTGATAAAATTGATGAACAACACAAAGCAACAGGACACGGGGAAGAGATAAAGTACTTCATAATTTAAAAAAAAAATGTAATATTCCAAAACTGGCTGTTGAAATATACGGAGAGTTGTGTACGACTTGCAAATAAAAAAAAAAACGCAGAAACATGCTGGTTTGGTGGTAAGACCCATAAAATCGAAAGATTTTAATGTCAGAGGACAAGTTGACTTAATTGATTTCCAATCTTGCGCCGATGGGAAATACAAATGGCTTCTAAATTACCAAGACCATTCTATCAAATTTTTGTACTTGCGACCATTACAGACAAAAAGAGCTGCAGAGGTGGTTTTTGAATTACTTAAAATCTTCCTTGAACAAGGCGCTCCAATTATTTTGCAAAGTGATAATGGACGGGAATTTACTGCCGAGGTAATTAAAGAGTTGGTTTTGTTATGGCCAGAGTGCAAAATTGTACATGGACGACCCAGACATCCTCAAAGCCAAAATTCTGTTGAGAGATCAAATCAAGATGTCGAACAGATGTTAAGATTTTGGATGAAAGAGCATAAAACTTCTCATTGGTCGCTTGGATGTTACTTTGTGCAATGGCAGAAAAATACATCGCATCATTGGAAGATCACCCTATAAAAGTTTGTACGAAGCAGATCCCAAAATAGGCTTAAGATCAACGAATTTGCCATCAGACTTTATTGATAAAATATTAACTGAAGAGGACTTAGAAGTCATTGACGCAAACATTACCAATAATAATACAGAAACTTTATTAAACAATGGCGACGATACAGTAGTAAAAAATGCTGTCGATTTAAGGACAGAGCGCACTAGTCAAAAAGTACAGATAAGTGATGTTGGCATCGGAATTCCCACCGAGAAAGTCGTAGATTATCAAATACAAACGTATGTGGAAGAGAATATAGACAAAATACCTATAATATTCGACGTTTCTGCAAATGTTTTAAACCAGGACACTGATAAGGGCCAAAGTATGAACTCAGATGTCTTATATTGCTGTGTTTGTGGCAACGAAAGTACAGGTGCACACACTTGTTCAAAATGCGGCGAAGTAGTGCATGTTACTTGTGGTATTTTTCACGAAAATGACGAGAGATTTGGCAGCCAATTTACTTGCAATCATTGTGTCCATGAAGAAAATATTAGAATAAACCGAAAAAAATCATACGAAGGGCAGCTCAAAGGTGCTGAAGAAATGACCAAAACAAGCAGAACAATTTTCAACGAAATAGAAACTGGCAAGTACGTAACAGTAGCTGTCTCGAAATTTGACCCTTGGACAAAAAGAATGTAGAAGAAATTATAGTTGAAAAGAAAAATAACGTGTACAGAATAGGTACAAAAAGTGGCATATTGAAAAACTGGTTTACCAGAGGCGACTTGACGTCTGTATCTTTAATTAGTTTTAATTATAGCGACATTCCTCAAGAACAGTTTATTTCTTTAAGAGAAGCCTGCGCCTCCCAATCTATGTTTTTAGGGCAAGGGTTTTCAAAATGTCAATGCCAACCATCAAAGAAACAGTGCAATACAAAACGATGTGCCTGTTTTAAGTCTAAACATTTGTGCAATAGTAAATGCCATTCGAGTAATTCTTGCCAAAATAAATAATAATGCTTTATTTTTTCTGATAGGTAACTTACTTTAGTAGGTAAGCTAGGCCGGTTTTAACCCATGGGGCAATGAAGGGGGGTGAGGGGCGGGGGGAACCGCGGGCGGGGGGGTACGCGCGGGGGGTATCGGGTTACACAAGAGTATCGGGTTACAGGGGGTGAGGGGGGGGGTGACCTTGACATACCATGTGAATGAATCACCGGGATGACATCACCGGGATGACGTCACCGGGGTCCTGCGCGCCGCGGGTCGCGTGGGGGCCGCGTCCGCGTGGGGGCCGCGTCCGCGCCGTGGTGCGAGGGAAGGGGGTCCGCGTTTTTGGCGCGGCGCGGGGTAGGGGTTGGCCGCGTCAGTCCGCGTGACATCACACGGCGCGCTTGCGTCATCCCCCCCCCCGGTCTCTCTCTCTCGCGCCCCCGTCCCCGTTCTCTTTCCCTCGCACGCGTCTCTCGCTCCCACCCATTAGAAATCTCCTTCCCAAAGTACGAGGCTTAGAAAGATGTATTGTAGAAGAAAATAATTAAATTATTTTTTAAGCGATTTATTTATTGGAAATAAGAGGAAGAATATTTAATAATTTATACAGATGAAATGAGTTTAATGATCGCGCGACGTGTGCGGCACGTGCATTCTTATCGCTTTGTAATTCTAAACCGCTGACGGTGGACAAGGGAACGGTAAATGAAAAGGAAAAACTTTTTAACCATATTATATGCATTTATTTATCATGTAGCGCATTATACACAATACTATCCAAA